CTATGGACCCAACAATAGAACTTTCGTCACTCCTAGATGGCGCCAGGTGGCAACCCCACCGCTAGGATAAGTCGCTACTGGCTTATCACCGGTACAATCGAAAATCAATGATAATGAATCCTCTACAAGAAATTGTAGAGGCTCTAAGCTCCCGGGTGGAGTAAAAGAATGTAAATTTTTTAATATGGATGCCTATTTTTAAATGTTGAATAAAGGCAAAGAACTATTACCCAAAATAAGAGTGATTTGCGAAAAACTTCACAGTTTCGAAGATCAGTGTCTTTTAGTTTTGGATAATACAAAAAGAATAATCTCAGACTTGGAGGAAAAAAAACAAACTTTTTATGAGTCAAAGCAAAGCAAGAAATGAGCGAGCTCCCCTTAGTTTTGTGGGATCACTATAACATATATTGTTTGGGATAATGGACGAAGAAGATAGGGTACAAGTGGAAAATAACATGAGAAATTTAGTAAGCATTCAGCAAAGTCTTGTCGAGTTGAGTAAGAATCAAACATCCATAGTCGACTCTACAGCTAACATTTTGAAAAGTACGACAGAGGATATTAATTCTAACTTTAAAGGAATAAATAAAAGAATTGCCAATATGACTGCTCTACTTAAGGAATCATATTATGTATACAAGGAATCTATCAATTTCTTCGTGATTCATAAAGAATATTCATCTATACTAATATTATAAAGAGGTAAAATTTGTTTGTTTGTTTGTTTGTTTGTTTGTTTGTTTGTTTGTTTGCAGGGAATAGGCTCCGGAACTACTGGTCCGATTTAAAAAATTCTTTCGCCGATAGAAAGCTATATTTTCGTGGAGTTAAATAGGCTATAATTTATTTTGAAAAAAATTAGGGATCCGTAAGAAAATTGCAATATTGTCGCATATAAAGTGAGTTGCTACCTCATCACACTGACAAACACGCTCCCATAGCATTTTAACTCAATTTTAGTGTTCACTGTGAAATTGTGAAAAAAAAGAAGTTTTATTCAATTCAAGTTGAACTGTGAAAATTATGTGGATCGTGCACTTGAGGATAAATTCACCACTCTGTCCATAGTCAAAAATGCTTAGAGGACGACGTGCAAACATTGGCCGCAGACATCCAAGCCAGCAGCCAGTATATTCACAAAACTTAAGCGAAGAAATACAAATGAGCACATGGAGATCATTGGCATCATTTAATCGATTGGCATTCCAATATAACCCCACTGCGAACTACAGTGATAATGAAAATTTAGATATTGGACCAATGGCGTCTATATACCGATATTGCAGTGCGTTAAAGTTTAAGGGGCACAACTAGTGTGACGGCCTAAAAAAATGGTGATTTTTGGGAATTTTTATAAAAAAAACTACTTGATCAATTCTTTTCAAATTTTCAGAATATATTTATGCATGTTTGAAGAATATACAGTAAAATTTTTAAAGAAAAAAATTAAATATTTTTTAAGCTAGAGCCGATCTCCAACGGCGCTAAAAAAAAAGTGCCCCAACTGCTGCAGTGATTCAGGCCTTCTCCGTGGATGAAATTAAAAACTGAAAAATTCTCGTTAAACTAGATGATATTGTCCATACAATGACCTACGATAAATAAAAAATATCAAAAACTGACAAAATGGCGGCGTTTTAAAAAAAAAAATCGAATTTTACCCAAAATTTTGGTCGTTTTTGGCCTGCCAAAATTCGATTTTTGATCGGATCAAAAAACCGATAGGTCATTGTAGGGAGGACTATATATAGAACATCTAAAAAAATTTGATAGTGATCGGATCATTAGTTTTTGAGTTATCACTGCAGCAAATTCGGAAAATGCAGTTTCGAGAAAAACGCGTTTGAAGATAAAATGATCGTATTCACTGCTATACGAGCGGCTGCTCTTAAAATTGCTGTAACTCAAAAACTATTTAAGATATCGATTTGAAATTTTAATATGTTATTTTTAAAGGTGTAATCTACCAAAATATGAAAGAAAAAAAAAAAGATTTTTTTGAAATGTCACACTAGTTGTGCCCCTTAAAAGAGAAACGGCTGAACTGAGCTGCGCAAGGGGAAAAGTCAAACTGGAAAAGTGTTAAATCACCATCTTTCTATACTTCCATATATTTGAAAAATGTTGCAACAGTGACTTTTATGTTGTTAAATTGTGTTGACCAGCGAAGCGGACACAGGACCTCTAGTAAAGAATAAAGCAACACAATAGATGATTGCAAAAAAATACAGTCTGGAATCATTGGCCTATTAATTGACATCAATCATAGTCAACTTTAAGTCACATAGCTTAAATTGCATGAGTTAGATTTTCATCATGTTACTGGTCACACATCGTTAATGTCAGCTGTCGTAATAATAACAATATTAGCTATATACGAAAAATAAAAATACAAGGGCAACTGCAAGCCATAGCATACTAAGCGTTTCAAAAAAAAATCTTTCATAAAAAACTTGTTAAATTTAAGAAAACAAATAAAATATATATACAAAGATAAAAAGCCATTAAATAAGGTCATTGCAAGTTGTGTAGTTGAGTCAACAAGAAGCGAAGCCGGCCCTTGGCAGAATGTTCAGACGAACACTAATGAGCTCTATGCGCGTGTGTACCACGCTTGAGCCATAAAACACTATTTATAAGCGAGTGCTGCTTACACTCATAGTTTTAAGTACAGGCTATTTTAGTCTAAAAATATACTTATCACTGTTAGATTTGTACACACCAAAAGGTTGCTCTGCAGGGGTCAAAGATAACTCTCCCGCTTTGATAGCAAACGCGGCCTCTGCGTAGGCCTTAGATTTATACAAATATTTTCCTATATAAATCGAACACAACACAGAATAAATTCAGTTTTCCTACAAAAACTCAACCAGTAAATGTTCTTATTTTGGAAGCATTTACAATAAGCATGTTTTGGGTGTGTACCCCGTTGGTCGCATATTACTTTTGAGTCCTTGGTACAGGCCCTTATTGCCCTGGTTACACCAAGACTCCTGTATGAGAGCTAGCCCGAAATGTTGAGTGGTGAAAAGCCTGTCCAGAACAGCTGATGCCGCCTTGGACCGGTGTAAGTTCACCTGGGCTAGCTTTGTGCCATTATTAGATCGGGTGCTCCACGTCAGTTGGTGAAGGGGGCGAGCATTCCCCTTTGGGCTGATGGTCGTGGCTCCTTTTTCCTCCTCAGTGCCTCATCAGGATTCATACCCTGCTGAAGCTATCTGGTGTATCATTTGACCTACCCAGCATCTTGGCCTCCTGGTTGTTCTCTGGCTGGGAGGACGTCCTCCTGCTTAGCAGGCCTAGTCTTCTGTCCAGCCACGGGGGGAGGGAAAACCGGCCGGATAGTGCTGCTGGTAGCCGTCGTTCCCGGACTGGGATAGTTGACTGGGGTCTGTCCCACATTCAGCGTCCGTGACACACTCCTAGCGGGGGTTGCGCTCCTGGGTGGGGCTGGTCCCGCCTGGGGTCGCTCTCCGTCAAGGAATTGGTATTCGATTTGTCTTGCGACACTTGATGCAGCGATGTCCTGCGGTAATTTAGTATTTGTTTGATTTTTCATATTCGAGTCCCACGAGTTCCGGAGAATGTGTGGTCGACCCGGGCAGAGATCCGCCATTACCGGGTAAGACATAGTTAGGACAGGCGGTCGCCACTTGCCTGAACCCTCCGTGAGAGACTGGTCTATTGTTAATCCGGCCCCCAGCCAGGCTGACTATCGGCACCGGAGGGAGATTGAGTGGGGAGGGATGTTGGTAGGTAGTCGTGAGGGGAGAGGGGTGTGTGAGGATACAATTTAAAGACGGCCAGACAAACGACTTGTCAGTACACCGACTTCGGTGTTTATCCGGGATTGCTTATTAGCCTTCTGAGAAGAAAATTATCTATCCGCAACCTGCAACCCCCCTAGAAGCCTCAGCTAAGCCCCCTCTAGAACATCTCACTTGTTGTCAAGGAACAGGTTTTTCTATGTAAATTAGTCTCTCAAAGCCATCTAGCTGAAATTTTACCAAAAGTTGTCTAGTTCTTGCACGCAGTATAAAAGCCGAAAGGAGCCGGATCGGGCGACTATATCGGATAGCTCCTATATGAGAGATTGACCAAATAAAATTAGCACGCCGTTGTTTTTATCACATCGATTTGATTTCTTCCAGATGGTGTTTTCTAACTCCTTCTGAATTAAAATTAAATTTTATCAAAATCGGATAATTATATGGAAAATGGAAAACCTATTATTACGTCGTTGTTTTTTATCCCACGAGTATGATTTTAGAACATCGACTTTTTTAACAACCCTTGAATCGAGAAAAAATTAAATAACAATCGGACAACTACATATATCATATAGCTGCTACCATAAGAAAGATCGAAAAATCCATATAGAATTAACTGACGACTATATCATATATCTTCCATGTGAACAATTGTCGAAAATAAAGAAACTTAATAGAAAAATTTACATAGCAAGGGAATATAAGCTTCGATTTGCCGAAGCTAGCTACCTTTCTTGTTAATTATGATTCATTATAATTTGATTGTGGTTTTTAACTACTATCGAATTTCCAATTCAATTTAATCAAAATCTTATAACTTAATCATATAGCGGCCATCGGAAAGATCGAAATTATATATATAAAATTGTTTCAAAGGACAAATCGAAAAATCCAAGTAAAACTTTGAGTTTCCTAAAAGTTCCTGAACTTTAAATTAAATATAGCTAATAACATACTCGGTCAAAATATGGAAATTACTCACTTCGATGTGTTTTGCTCGACTTTTGTGATAACTGCAAGGGCATATAAGCCTCGGCTCGCCGAAGCTAGCTTCCTTTTTTTTCTGATATTAAACTAGAACCCAAGACTCAAAAATTTTAAATGAATACTGTAAATACAATATATATTCAACAAAGTATATTTACCGGTATGAAGCAAATTAATATAACTAAATACATAGTATAATAATTATAAAATATTTTTTTATAAAAAAATTTTTTTTTTCAGGCTTGGGAAAATAAATTTGATAATCCGTTGCCAGGAACTGTCGTTGATCAATATATAACCAAATTAAAACTCTATGATTTTTTTTTGGTTTCGCAATTGGTGCGACAGGGAACTGTAACTCCTACCCATTTTGTGGTTTTACGAGATGACGCCAAATATGGACCAGATATTATTCAAAAATTAAGCTATAAATTGTGTTTTTTATATTACAATTGGACTGGGACTGTACGAATTCCAGCTTGCTGTATGGTAAGTTATTTTTAATAAAAAAAAAAACAAAACTATTGAAAAAAAAAATAATGTAAGAAAAAGGGCCCGATAAATAGAAATTCGCATTTTAAGCAAAAGAAGTGCATTTGGCGACTGATTGATTTGTATACCCTAGCAGAGGGTTTTATAATTTCTGTCAGTAGATTGGCAACGCAGTCAAGAAGACACCTCAGACCCCATAAAGTATACATATTTATGATCAGCATCACGATTAGGATCGTCGTAACGTCTGTTCGTCTGTCTGTTTCTCTTCAAACTAGTCTCTCAGTTTTAAAGCTCTCTTGCTGAAACTTTCCCAAAAGTAAAGTAGTTATTGCACGCAGTAAATAAGTCGGAATAGGTCGTATCGGTGGACTAAAAACTTTTTTTTTGGGTTTTTTTTTTCTAAAAGACTAATATGTCGAGAAAACTGTGTAAAAATGTTGAATCAATTAGAGTTAAATTTACGGAGGTACAGTGTTTTAAACGACCGGATTTCGACGTATTTTGAAAATATAATACATTAAACGGATTTTCCGTAAAAAGTTATTTTAACATCAGAAAATCAGAACTCAAAATCTACTGAGCCGATCCTTTTCAAATTTTTAACACAAATTCTCCACATAAATACGCAGGTAATAAGGAAGAGTTTTTTTTAATTTGTATTTTTTTTTTTTCTATTTTTATACCCTTGCAGAGCAAAGGGTGTTATAATTTCAGTCGGAAGTTTGCAACGCAGTGAAGGAGACACCTCAGACCCCATAAAGTATATATATTCTTGATCAGCATCACCATCTGAATCGAAATATGTATGTACGTCCGTCCGTCGGTCCGTCTGTCCGTCTGTCTGTCTGTCTGTCTGTCCTCCTGTCGGTTTCTATGTAAACTAGTTTCTCAGTTTTAAAGCTATCTCGCTGAAACTTTCCCAAAAGTTGTGTAGTTGTTGCAGGCAGTATATAGGTCGGAACGAGCCGGATCGGCCGACTATATCGGATAGCTCCCATACAAGAGAATGAAATAAAAAATTCTTACTCCGTTGTTTTTGATCAGATCGACTTGATTCCTTTCAGATGGCGTTTTCTAACTGCTATTGAAATTCGGATTAAATTTGATCAAAATCGGATAACTCTATCATATAGCTGCCATAGGAGAGATAAAAAATATATATTGGGTTGGCAAGAAAGTCATGTCGTTTTTTTTTAGTAATCGTTTTTAATCTAATTTATTTACGACTGATCGAGCACCAGGGTCATACTTTTTAGTATCGTTTTAAATCTTATTGTCTTAGGTACTATCGACGAAAATTTGTTAATTATTCGATAACATTTGTGGAAGCTATAGCAAATTAAACATGGAGGACCAAAGTGAGCATTTTCGGCATATTTTGTTTTTTTACATCCAAAAGGAAAAAAAGCGGTCGAAGCTCGCGAAAAATTGTGCGAAGTGTATGGTAAAGATGCCATGAGTGATCGCCAATGTCAGCGCTGGTTTGCCAAATTCAGGCTTGGAGATTTTGGAGTTAAAGACGCCCCACGTTCTGGTCGACCATCGGCCGTTTTTAACGAACAAATTCAGGCTTTGCTGGATGAAAACTGGCGTTATTCAACGCGGGAGATGTCAGAGAAGCTCAAAGTGTCGCATACAACGGTTGAAAACCATTTGAAGAAACATGGCTACGTAAGCAAGCTCGATGTTTGGGTTCCGCATAACTTAAAGGAAATTCACCTAACTAAGCGTATCAACATTTGCTATTCTCTGCTGCAACGGATTAAAAACGATCCTTTTTTGAAGCGGATCATTACTGGCGACGAAAAGTGGGTTGTTTATAATAAAGTCTAACGAAAAAGATCATGGAGCAAGAAAGATGAGCCAGCCCAAGCCACATCAAAGGCCGATATCCATCAGAGGAAAGTTATGCTGTCTGTTTGGTGGAATTGGAAGGGTGTAGTGCACTTTGAGCTGCTGGGACGGAATGAAACCATCAATTCAGATGTGTACTGTCGCAAAGGAGCCGGCACGAGCTAATCGGAAGGGTATAGTCTTTCACCATGACAACGTTAGGCCCCACACATCTTTGCTCACTCGGCAAAAATTAACGGAGCTGAATTGGGAAGTGCTACCACATCCACCTTATAGTCCAGACTTAGCACCTTCAGATTACCATTTGTTTCGCTCTCTTCAAAACTCTTTGAATGGTAAAAACTTTGATTCAGATGAGGCTGTCGAAAACCACTTGTCTCGATTCTTTGCTGGAAAAGACCAAAAGTTCTTCGAGCGAGGAATTGTGCAGCTGCCCGAGAGATGGTCATTAGTGGTCGAACAAAACGGCCAATACATAATTGATTAATTATAAGTCCTGATATAAATAAATCATCTTTGAAAATATTGGAAAAAAAGGACATGACTTTCTTGCCAACCCACGAGCATGATTTTTGGAACATACAAGTTTTTTAAATACTCTTAAGTTGAAAAAAAAATTTCATAAAAATCGGAGTACTATATCATATAGCTGCCATAGGAAAGATCGAAAAATTTGTATAGAAATAACGGAAATAAAATTATAACCTCGTTGTTTTTCATCAGACAATCATAATTTTTGGAATATAGAGTTTTCTAATGAGTCTTGAGTTACAAATTAAATTTCATCAAAATCGGACCACTACACAGTGGGCGATTTGGTCTCGCTAGCGGCATTTAATTCAAATTTCAACTTTCAAAAAGCGATGATTTTTTTTCACAATTCGATAATAGATACTTTGATTAGATTTATCCAAGCATTTTAAAAGCTCTACGATGAGCTGATCATCAGCTGTGAACGGACAAACACAGTAAATGATTTTGCAAAGAACTTTACAAAATGTTACCTGTTTGCGTGCATCGAATTCAAGTTCCTCGGAAATTTACAATTTTTAGCGAATTTATTAAAAGTTTGGTTTTTTATTAATTTCAAGGTATGCATTACAAAAAAAATTAATGTTTGTGACCGGTCTATAAATGTGTAGCTCATAAAACGTAGTGACAATTCAGTGTATTAACAACGAGCCCGGATTAGCGTACACCTGTCTTTCGTGGAGAAGAACTTACCTGATTCAAGTGGATTCAGTCTAACTCTTTTATTAGCCGAAAGTGTGAATCAGTGGCGTCCAATGTGTGTAATATGAACTGCTAGTACCTGCTAGCCTTCAAACTATGGTACTTTTAAGGCACAATGTCAGTAGCAAAAAGGGATCTTTTTTAGTATATTTTAGTATTTTTACTATGCCGCCGTCTGATTCCGATGATTCTGAATAAAATTCTAGCCATTTTTAAATTATGTTTGTTTATGGAATATATTAATTGAAGTTTAAAAAACATAAAAATAAATCAAAATTTAAAATTAAAAAATATTTTTTTTTAATTTAAAAAAAAAAAAAAAAAGTATTAAAAAAAACCTTTTTTTAACTTAAAAAATTGTATGATTTTTTTTTGATCGGTGAAAAAAAACCGACTGAAGATATCTATTTTAGTTTAGAAGTTATTAATTAAATGCCGCTAGCGAGACCAAATCGCCCACTGTGCACTATAGAAAAATCGTTATAGCTTCGATGCTCTTTAGGTTTTATGTATTTTGTTCGTCATATTTAGTAACTGCAAGGGTATATAAGTTTCGGATTGCCGAAGCTAGCTTCCTTTCTTGTTAAAAAATAAATTAGCAGCGATTTTTTGAACTAAAATCGAACTTTTCACTTTCATGTGCTCCCAAAATAGAAAAAAAAACAAATTTTTTTAAAACTCTTTTTGATTACCTCGAGAAAATTATTATCTTTACAACGCATATCAATTTTTTTTTTCAAGATAATCCATTAACGTCTGCGTCGTCGGAGAGATGAGGTTCTATGAATTAGCAGACTTTTACTATGTAGACAAAAGCACCAGATGGCCTATGATTGTAGAGTTCTTCAATATCCTCGTCCTTCCGTCGCTAGCGGAATTCCTGATGAACGGACTTTAGGTGTTGTCTTTAGAGCTAAAAGATCGGATCATCACACATGGGAAAAAACGACTTGAAATTAAGACTTGCTGTGAAAGTTCTTCGAAGGTGTACTTTCTGATAGTTGTGGGATTGTAACAGAGCGTTTTAAAGCTCTTAACTTTGGCCTCCCATATGGGATGCCCCAGGAGGTATGAATTGCCATGAGAATTCTGTTGGCTAAAGGCATCAGTCACATACTTTTTTACGGCCTGCAAGAAATTATGGGACAGGTGGCAGCGCCAACAAAAGTTTTTCTTTTATCGGAATGGATTTGTACAGGACACCCACTTTTGGAGTCGAACCAATCGAGCGCGACAAAAACTTTCTCGGTCGCCAAGTCGGATGTTGGCTCGAGCTGGATGGCCTTGATGGAAGGGCATACAAACACTAAGACATATCATTTTCGCTTTTCCAGTATATTTTTTAATATCAAATGGACCCACGTGATCCATTTCCGTATACGAGCTCTACACACCGTCCTATGGCACATACCTCAGCTTGGAATATGCTAGTGTATTGGTGTACTCATGGTACTTGATTCGTGGTCCTATCACTCCCAGGCCAGAGCTTTGGTGTGTTAGGGACCTGTCCGTATACTACGCTATGGTATGACTTTTGTAGCTGTTTCTATGCTGTAATGAGCTTCGCTCTTTTACCCGAGGATCCTGAACCATACTGAACTCGTATGTGAACGGTCGTGAGATTAAGGCGAGTTCTTTTGATAAGTTTCCACACCTACCAGGGATCAGATCATAGTGTTATAGGAACGGGTTCATACTCAGGAGAGAGCCCAATGTAGGCATTGGGCACTCTTAAATCACGCACCACCGCCCTCAGCCAGTCCGCTGAGTCTTGGTAAAGTAGATACCTCTAAATGCGACTGGTGTGTCCCATGCCGACGTGATCACCTCGTCCATGATGACCTCCTCCTGTGGATAGTCCCCTGGTAGTACCGCACGCCTTACTCTCTTGGGGGTATCAGCATAGG